CGCGGGCCGGCCGGCCCCCCCCCGCTGGCTGGTCCTGGGGCCGCCGCGCTCGGGGGCGAGGGACGAGACGAGCAGGCCGTGGCCACGGCACGGTGGCTTTTACCCGTGTCAAGGATGCTGCTTTCTTATGGACGTGGCAAAGCCCTGGTCCCGCCTGGGCAGACCGGAGTGGGGATCGGGGTCGGGGCTTGGAGAGCTGGCGCCCCGCTTCTCCTCACTTCCTTCCTCTCCATGAGTGCAAGGCTGGTCCCCGCTGGGCCTCGGGGGTTCAGACACTTCCCTGCTGATCCGCGTCACCCGCCACTGCCACAAGTAGCCCCTTGGAGCCAAGGCTTGTCCACGCTGCGCTTGTTTCTGTGGATTTGACAGTATTTCTCCTGGCCTGTCTGTAGTCAGACTGCCTGTTTGCCTCTTCCTCAGTGCAGGAAAGGATGGGGAGAGAGAAACAGGGAGGGAAAGATGACCCTGCATCTGCAAGAGGAAGCTCAGGGAAAGATAAGATTCCCGAGATGAGTTTTTATCTTCTTTTCTTTGTTTAAATGGGTTAGGGCAGGGATGTCAAACTTTCCACCCCATGGGACCAGCCCCTGGCACAGGGAGCTGGACCGGCTTTGGAGCCAGTGTGCAGGGCCAGTCTGGCTGGGTGCTGCATGCGAGACGTGCCCTGTGCCAACCCCCTGTGCTGCATGAATTGTGTGCGGCTGGTCCAGCCCTGCACACCACGTGCAGCATGCACTGGCCCCGGGGCTTGCTGTGCTTGCAACCCCTGGGGCTGGCAGCACCTAGGACCGTCTGTAGTGCATGCAGTGTCAGGTCCAGCCCACACATCATGTGCAGCACACAGGGCCCGAACATGGGGTTGGTCCAGTGGGCTGTATATTTGACACTCCTGGGTTGGATTTTAAGGCCAAGGGATGCCTCACTGATGAAGTGTGGCACTTCAGGAGCAAGATTTGTGGAAGTTCTTAAGACTTGTGCGAGTGAGTGGAATCAAAGGTTTTCTGCCTGTTGACTTGTTTTCTTGTTATCAGAACTAAGTATAAATGAGCCTAGACAGTCAGGAAGGGTTACTTGTTCACAGCAAGTCATGCAGATAGGCAGGATGGTTTTTAATAGAGCTTGTGACTGGGAGTTAGAAGAACAGGTTCTGATCCATCTGCTACAGGATGACCTTGGATGGATTTACTTCCCATCCAAGCATTTGCCTTGGAATCCTCTGAAGGATGCAATAGAAATGAATAATATTATTAGAAGTATAGTTAAGAACAAGGCCTAATTTCTCCTATATTGCATGCAACATGCTTTTATTGTAAGATGCCCTGAGGCTTATGGGAAAGGTGGCATAGCGACTGAGCAATCAATCAATAAATGTACAGACTCTCATTAAAGCAAAGAGAGCATCAACACAAAATTGTTAAATGTGGTTAGAATCATGGATGGACTTCAATAGCAGTACATTTTGTTACTGCGGCACATTCTTAGGGGGCAGCTATGATAGCAGCACTGCTGACAGTAAGCCAGGCCAGGCACTCTGTCCGTTCCCCTCTATTCTACCTAAAATGTACGAAGGATTGTTCTCTCAGCTGGGTTCCTGGCTGGAGGGGCTTACACTGGTTGCAGTAGCAGGTATTTTGTCATGAATGCTGATACTAGACAGTCTTTTGTGCTTTTTATTTCAGGAGTAGGGAAAATATGCAGAGCTTTTTGACAGCATCCAGTTATTTGTCTTGCTTATCCATGCATGCATTTGTCTCTTTGTCTGATAGTTAATGCTTTATTTAATTCTTCTGTTAGGTATTAATTGCGCAGTCTAGAGCTTCTGGAAGCCACCGAGATGTTGAAGATGAAGAACTTACACGAATTTTTGTTATGATACCGAAGTCCTATACGGAGGAAGATTTGCGAGATAAATTTAAGGTACTAATTGACACCTAGTTAATTATTTTTTCTAATTGAATTTTTTTCGTTTTATTTTTTTGTCAGAAGAGATTAAAAATCTGTTGTTTTGTAAAATGCTATTTAATAACTTAACTCTTTAATTATCCTAGATATATGGAGATATTGACTACTGCAGCATTATTAAGAACAAGAACACAGGAGAAAGTAAAGGTTTGGGCTATGTGAAGTATATAAAACCATCTCAAGCTGCCCTGGCAATAGAAGAGTGTGATCGAAGTAAGAATGTCATTGTATTATTTTTCTATGCACATTTATTGTTAGAAGCTGCGTACTCATTGGTGTAGCTTTAAGTAACACTGGCCTCATGTCTTTGGTTATTATTAGCAGAGAAATTATTTATGGTTTAACTACACCATAGTATGTGTAACTTCTGTAGGATTTAATCCCACAAACACACACACAGTTGGGACCCATCTGACTAATCACCTGAATAAGTACTTTCAAGGTCTTTGATTAAAAATAAAAATAGTGAAATGACTGTATGAATGACTACAGTGATTTTCTTGATGCTGTATCACACAAGTATGGTGCAGTATATGTAGATTCAGTGCATGGGCTGACCCCCATTTTATAAAATTCTCAGTGTGTGCAGGATCCGTACGAAATAGTGAGCATGATAATTTACAAAGATAAAAATAAACTGTATTATGATGACTTCTGTGTAAAGTATATATAGCATTGAAGGAAGATTTATTTAAATAATGACTTTTCAGACTATAATAATGTGTTAAATATTACAATTTAACTGTATTGCAGTTAAAATTGTTGTCTGGTGGTTAGAGCATAGGTTTGAGAGTAAAGAGATGGGTGTTGGTTCTCGTTTTGACCTTGGGCAGTTAATTTTTTTTTTGTGTGTCTTAGTTTTTCTATCTGTAAATGGAAATGATAAAGTTCACCTTTTTGGAGTGTTTTATGCTTAGCTGCTGTATGATAGCTATTTGTTTCACTGTCTCGTTTTATAAAGTAGCAGTATTTGACACTACTCCCTCACAAATGTGTTAAGCAGTCACTAGCACTTGTTGTGATTTTAGTAAAAGATATTCTTCAAATCTTCCTTCATGAGCCAACAAACGGTTAGAGATTGAATCTGCCAACAAATCATGATATATATTAGGATATCTTTGTTCTGAGTGGGTTGGGATTGAAAGATAACAGCTAACATTATTAACCCCAATCTGTAATAGTTTATAAAGACTGTACATGTATCCCAAAATATGAATGTTAATTTTTAATACACAAGTAAATAAAGCTTAATGTAACATAACTAAAATCAGTGTGCAGAAACACATGCATTGAAATGCCCATACCCTGAACCACATTTAGTCATGGTGTAAAGAGTGTCAGAATATGTAGGTCAGATATTAGGAAAAACTTTCTTCCTCGGAGGATAGTAAAGCACTGGAGCAAGTTACCCAGAGAGGTTGTGGAATCTCCATCCTTGGAGGTTTTTAAGACCCAGCTAGACAAAGCCTTAGCTGGGATGATCCAGCTGGGGATGGTCCTGCTTTGAGCAGGGGGTGGGATTAGATGTGACCTCCTGAAGTCCTTCCAACTCCATGATTCTATGACACTGCTAAAAATTTAGTGTTTCTCTTTAAATCCATTTTCATGTTTGGCCTGAAAGAAATTAATTGGGTCATTTGAGAGCTGACTAAATTGTTAACACAAGAGCAGTGCCTAATTTTAAACATATTGTGTTCAGCAGTAGTAATACTGAGCCTGCATGGATGTCCAGCTTCTGATTGCCTTCTTCTGTGTTGTTTATGCCCAGAATAACAGTATTTCTTGATGCTATAAAATAGGTTCTTTATAGATTACTTGTGAAAGAAGAGATTCTGAGATAACTGCTTTCAGTTTTCTAATCAAGTTAGATTAAATGAATTGGAGATGAGGGTATACACCCCATAGCCATACTGATTTACAGGCAAAAGGAATCAGAACTTGTGGCAGAAGTGATATCTTTTATTAGATTAGGTATTTACAAAAAAAGTCTTTATTTGCAAGCTTTTGGGCACATTCACCCTTCTTCACGCATAGGAGAATTCAAAGATTGTAAAATTTCTCTTAGGTGGAAATGAAAATTCATGTTTTACAGGAGAGCTGACGATGGGATTGTAAAATCTCCAGGTTGGAATAGTTCATTTTGTGCAAATTAGGTTCAGATAAAAGTTGGAACAGTCTTTTTACCTCGAAGTTGTGTGGTGTCAAGCAGGATGTAGAATTGTGTTTCCTTCTAGTAATGATGTTTCATATTTCACAGGAGAGTGGGGAGATGAAATGCTCTCCTGGGCAGGAATTTATTTTGTATTGAGGTGCCTCTAAGTTCTGTGAAAATGCAAATTTAGTTTGAACAACAGGCAGGAGCAGGATGTCAGCTTTCAGGTTTCCAGATGGTACATTTTGTTTCCTTGTTACAAAATTATGAAGTTTTCAGTTTAAAAAATAGCTAAAATTCAATATTTTCCATGTTTCAGGTATACAGGTGTGGGCCACGATTCCCGGATGGTCCTTGGGAAACGGCCGCAGTTGCGTGTCGAGTGGGGCACCGGGTGGTGACACCAACCCAGACACGCTCGGGGATGCCAAGTGCGAGAGGGAGATGAGATAAGCACCACAGACAATGGAGTTTGAAATAAAAGTTGATATTTACTTACAAGGCTGACAAACAGTAGGTCGAAACAACCTGGTGATAACGAACCATATACAACAGCGAGGGAATATATACAAGCGATGGGTAGCGATGGGCGACGGGTGGAGACCGCAATATACAAGTACAGTGTCTGGTTAGGACAAGGTACTATGCGAGGCAGTAAGCTTATGATGCTCGGAGCGACCAGAGCAGCTTCTGCTAAAGACCTAGGGGTCTGACCAGGCCCCAAGACGGGTGATCAATCTGTCCTGAGAGTCAGAGCCTGGGGACCCCGCACTAAGGCGTGCGGTCCCCTATATAAAGTTTCTGGCCAATCAGAAGGCTCCCCTGATGGTACATTCTGGAACCCATGGACATGCTGGCCAGCCAGCTATGCCCATTAGGTGGTCCTTGATTGGCCAGACCACAGGTGATCATGCTCTGCTTAACATTGCGATCATGCGCCGCTCGCATGATGGGTCAAATTGCTGTTACACTCTGCCACCGCATCTCTATTTACAAATGGTTGTGTTACTTAATACTTTGGTGCAATAATCTGGCGGGGTCACTTTGCTTGTTGACAGAGAGCAGTCCTCCCCCCCTCCCCCTCTTGCCCCTCCCTCTCCTTACTTTAGTTTCTGTTTCCCTGTGGGCAAACCCAGTTTGAGATTCAAAACTCGAAACGTTTCTAAAATTTTGAAACATTTTGATTTGCCTTGTTTTGTTTCGAGGCTGTTTCGAAGCTCTCTATTTTGTTTTGATTTTGCTGTTTCAAGCTCAAAACAAGTTGAAACAGCATTGAAACGAAACTGCCAGCGAACTTTTGCACAGCCCTATTGAATACCTATTTGTTCACTAGATTTCAGAATATTTTCCCACAATTAAATTAGGGGGCTGAAGGAACTGGATGGCTAGGAGATATATAATGGTACATACAGTCTTTTGCCTCTTGCTCAGGGTCAGTGGTATATTTTTTAGTGGTATCTGCAAAAGAAACTACTGATTTTAGTCGTTTCTAAAGCATAGTTGGTAATGTTTGCAGAGAGGACAGGGAGTGAATTGAACGTGGAGACCCAACTAGAAGCAGAGGACTTTAGTTTCTTGGATTGTCGCCAGTGCCTTTTATGACTCATGAGCTTGAAATTCACTGAAAATTCAAAATTGTACTTTGGAAAAAATGATAAACAATATAACAGCCTGATAAATTGGTAGGGCAATCCTGTCCTATACTTTGTTCAGCTTCATGAAAAAAACAGTTACTTAATCAGGCAAAGCATATAATGCTGTGGCCAGAATCCCAGTGTGGAAACATTTTCTAATATCACACATTAGGAGACAACCTGCTATTTGTAACACTAATAAGATTTACAGGAAAATTACAAAGACAGAGACCTCATTTTCTTCAGTGTTGTATTTTCCTTCTTCTCTAGACTTCCCATTTTCTTCAGTCTTAGTCACTGATTGTTCCAGTCAAGATCCAAGATGAATGATAAAATTAAGAAACCACAATGCAAAAGGCTTAGGGGACTGAATTAAACTGTCTGAATATTTAAAGAAAAACCCTCCATAAAATAAATGAGAGAGCAGTTAGCTAACAGGGCCTTAACTGCTACATCTAAGGAGAGTGAACAGTTACCTACTGTGCTCTCTCAGAAGGCTCAGCTTGGCAAAACCTACCATGTTAGTATAGTGCTTATCATCTCAGGACCACTCAGCCAGTTGGAACTCTCAAGGTAAAAAAATCTGTTAGGTAGGAAGTGGTTGTGGTATGGGATTTAAAGCTGGAAAATTTCCAAGTGAATAAAAAAATCCCACTTATTATTATTACACCAAGTATAAATGGATAGTTTTTGCCACCATTCTACTTAAAAATGGCATACAGAACTGAAGGTGACCACCCACTCCAAGTCCAGTTCCCTGCAATTGCAAGTGAACACGTAATGAAATGTTAGTCCAGAAAAAAAACAAAAAACAAACCAGAGCCGTAACTACCAGTTTCAGCATCTTGGGCAGAAAACAGTGTGTGTGTGTGTGTGTGTGTGTGTGTGTGTGTGTGTGTGTGTGTGTGTGCGCACGCGCACGCCAAGTACCAGAGAGTAGATGGAGAGTGGCAGGATGTGGACAGGGGCTGCACTGAGCACTGGAGACTGGGGAGTCGGGGTTGCAGAGTGCTGATACCCCCGCTAAATTTGTGCCCAGGGCTGGTGCCCTGTTTGCCCAGCCCTAGATTATGTTACTGAAAACAGCAATCACTTCTGCTCCCATCTATACACCATGGCCACAAAAGAGCCCAAACCAATCCAAACCAAGTCGTCCATAACAAAGAACTGCACAGTGCCAGAGGAAGAGACCAGGGCTAGGAACAGATGTATGTTTGTCTCAGGATCAATTCTGCCTGTGTTTATTCCAAAACAGGAAAGTCTCAGGATTAGCATGTACCCATATCGTCCTTCCAATAGGGGTTCAGAGAGTGGCTGAATACACTGCCCTTTTCTGCCATTGATTCAACAATGCAATCCCAGCATTCAGAGATGTCCCAGGACAAACTGGTAGTAGCATTCCTTATCCTGTGGACCTTTTTAAGGTTTGCCCTGGGATAAGACATGGACTACCCCCCCACCACCACACTAATTAAACATATTCATTACAAGCAGTGTTCGAATTATGTGGGAGCTGGGGGTGGGAGGGCTAAGCATAAAAGATGAAAATCCTCCTGTAAGCATGGGCGACTGGTGCTGCCTGAGTTGGGGGGGCACTTGTCCCCACAGTGGCCAGTCAGCGACTGGGGTGGCGCTCCCAAATGGCCCATTGCGCCAGCGGGGGAGGGGATCTGTCACAGCCAATCGCACCAACCGGGGGGGGGTCCCCCCTGCTGGTTGCACCTGCCGACCCAAAGTGCCAGTAGTGCACCCAGAAAGGCCAGGGATGTCCATCACCTCCAGTGCTGGAGGGGGGGGGGGGGCACCATTGCTCCTGCCTGCCCCCCTGCCCATTGCCTAAGTGGGGAGCGCTGGCCATCAGAGGGTGCACCAGCGCTCTCAGGGGGTGCACATGCACCCCCGTGCATCCCCTATGTGTGTCCACTGCAAGATTTGAAAATCATAAAGGGCGGGGTGTCTCCGATTTTAGTAAGGCATTGTGATGGGCAGTCCATTTTTTTTTTGCAGACCTCCCCCCAAGAGTCAAAGGGGGTACTCGAAGTCCGCAAAGGAAGCATTTTTTTTTACACGTGGGCAGCGACAGAAGGCAGCACATCTCTTTGGAAACAGCCTTGCCAGGCACTCCAGACACCTGAGCCGGGAAGGGCTGGAAGGGTCCAGAGAATGACTGGAATCCATTGCGCTGAGAGGAGAAATTCCAGCCTGCCACAGACTGGGGAGTGACAAGTCAGACGGAAAAATCCTCAGGACCCCGCTAGGGTGAGGGAGCTCCTCTCAGTCTCCATTCCTTTGCACAGACTCACCGGGAACCGCCGCACAACAATAACGTCGCCCCCTCACCCATTTCCCGCCAAAGGCTGCAGCGCTGAGGAGCCCCCTGCCTCAGGGGGGGCGGGAAACCGCCTGGCAGGCTGGAGCAAAACAGGGGGGATTGAAAAAGAAAGGGAGAGAGATGGCAGACTAAGAGGGAGATTTTGATGAGGAGCTGTCCCCTCTCCTCATGCCTGAGGACAGCGGGTGAGGGGCGGCTGCGGGGCTCCTGGGCACTTGCCGAGGGGGCGCGCAGGCAGCCCTTCCCAGAAACACGTCCCCCCCGCGCTTTCCCAGAGCCCTCTGATGAGCTCATAGCATTTTTCCTTTGCATATCTTGGCGCGGGCCGCGGCCCGTCTCAGCGCGCCCCTCGCCCAGCCCCGTGCGTGTGCGCGCGTGTGTGTGAGCGCAGGACGGGACAGGACTGGACAGGGCGCGCCGCGCCCCTCCCCTTCCCTCCTTTCCC